TTCATTGGTCTTGCCTATGAAATGAGTTTTCACTAAAGATTTTGACACAACAAGGACTAGGGGACTTCTGAGTTGGTGAGAACATGGGTGTGCTGGAGGGTGGTATGACCAGAGGAGGCCAGAGTACTCTGTATCACACTTGCCTGCCTGTTTCTTCCTTGCCCTACGCTTCTTTTCCATTTAGCTCTTCCTGAGCTGTATGCTTTATGACAAAACTCTAATTATTACTTGAATATTTTCTTGAGTTCTGTGGATCTATTCTAGTAAATTATGAAATTAAAGGAGGGTTTTTTGGGAATCTCCAAATTAACCAGTCAGTAAGGAGTATGGGTAGGCACCTGGTCTTGCAGCTGGCGTCTGAAATGAGTGCCATCTGTGGGAATGAGCCCTTCTATCTGTGGAGCCTGATACTAACTCTGGGTAGTACAGGAATTAATTGAATTCTGGGACAATTATTGTTGGAGAGTTAGTGAATTGGTTGATGTTCAAACAATGTATTTAGTATCAAATTAAAGAGTCAACTCCATTCCCTCTGTGTTTTCTTTGTGCTTGTTGTCATATAGAAGTACCTCAGACTTGTATTTGCTTGTTCTCCAGATTGTTCTTAATTTGATGTGTGTGTATAACATGATTGGTTAAACAGACTAAAATGATTTAAGTATGTAGTTTTGATATGGACAGGTAGGTAGCTCAGTCTTTACTGCCAGCAGCATCTATACTGCATCCCTTTACCACCCAAACCCTGCCCACTTCCATGCTGATCCAAAATGGCTGTCTGCTAGCGAACCCTTTCCCTATTTTACACAAACACCAGGCTATATTCCTAGAGATGACCATGTATGTGCTGAAGACCCATGTGGAGACATCATGACACTTCAAAGATTCCCAGACAAGAAACATGGAAATAACTGATGCTTAAAACCTACCCAAACACCACTCCATTTGAATAAGTAATTAGGGTACCACCCCTAAGCTGTAGAGTGACAATCCCAACTTTGATGGGGCAGTAGCATTTCCTTCCTCAGGAAAAGAGGTCCACATTTACACTTCAATGTGAACTTCCACTTTCAATCATGCTTTCTTGCTTATCTTTGTTTCCTCCTTGAGACATGAACTTGGAACAAGCCCAGTGGGTGGGTATTTCTCCACAACCGATTTGTACATTAGTGGGCTACCACTTTAAAAATAATTATTTACAGATAAAGATTCTATCCTACCCAAAGAAAAAAAAGAATATGTAAAGTTTATTTTAAAAAAAAAGCATATCTACATATATCTAGTCATCCATACATCCATCTGTCCATCCATGCAGAATGCTTTGCCAGCGTTTAGTTATTTGATCCGTTTACTTAACCCACTCAACCAGGCCTATATCATGATGTTCTTGTGAGTATTAACTTGCTTGATTAATGGAAAATACAACAGTATCTAACATATGCAAACATTCAGTAAATTTTAGGTGGTTTTACAATTATTTGTATTCTCACTACTATTTTGATGATTACTTATATTGATACAACTTCCAATTAGAACATAATCCATGGTACTATGTACATGCATGATTTTTAAACATTTTTGAGCACGTGTTTACTTAAAAGATTTTTTGTTATTAAGTATTTGTTTAATCAGACATTTTTCGGAAGTATGAAAGTAAGCTACCTGTAAGATTTTTTTTTTAATTTTTTAAAAAATTTTCTTGACAGGCTGAGTGGACAGTGAGAGAGAGAGACAGAGAGAAAGGTCTTCCTTTGCCGTTGGTTCACCCTCCAATGGCCTCTGCGGCCGGTGCGCTGCGGCCGGTGCACCGCGCTGATCAGATGGCAGGAGCCAGGTACTTATCCTGGTCTCCCATGGGGTGCAGGGCCCAAGCACTTGGGCCATCCTCCACTGCACTCCCTGGCCACAGCAGAGAGCTGGCCTGGAAGAGGGCAACCGGCACAGAATCCAGTGCCCCGACTGGGACTAGACCCCGGTGTGCTGGCGCCGCAAGGCGGAGGATTAGCCTAGTGAGCCACAGCGCCTGCCACCTGTAAGATTTTTTGAGAAATGATAGAGGAAACGTTAACAAGACATATGAGAACAAATAGTCTAGGGGAGCAAAACAAATAAAAAGAACAAGTGGTAGTCTCTGCTGTAATAGAGATAATAGAGAACTTAGGAAAGTTAAAAAAAAAGGGAGTTAATGAAACACCATAGATCTAATGAAATAGACATGTTGGTTGTGGACAACTGACCAACAGACATAAAAATGAAAGAGTGTGACCCAAGTACTTTGTACAACCATGAACTGTGTACAGCGGGATACTGGGGACACAAGGTAAATATATTGAATGAATGTACTAAATGGCACTAAGATTGAAACCTTTTATGTACTCTAGTGTCTATCTAAATTACAGTTCAATTTTAAGGACTGCAAAAAGGGATATATGCGAAGCAAGCTCCTGAGACTACTTTTATGAGTGTAACTTCAGAATGTCTTCACCACAGGGAACCCAAGACTAAAGCAGCATCACCTGTGAGGCAAAACAGTATTGTATGTGACTTTCTGAAGAGTCCAGTCATTGGACTCCTTAAACCCTGTGAGAATTAGATTGCTGATTTTTATAGCAAAATATGATAAAATTTTATTAAAAGCTATTAATGTCTCTTAGAAAGGCAAATGTTATTTTGTGTATAGCCGGATTTTTAAAAGCAAAAATTACACATGGCGTTTAAGCAGTATTATTTTTCATACCTCCTTACTATCCCATCCTTTTGTGCCAAGGTGATAAATATTATCAAATATCCCCAAAACTTGTTGGAGGAATTGCTATAGAACATCCAAAACTGGGTCCACTTGCTGAAAACTCAGCAAGCCATTTGCTAACACTGGAATGGACAAATGGACAAAAAGTTTATTTGGAGTGCACAGAGCAAGGAGAAAGATGGCTGCCACTCAATTCCCGGGCTCAAGAAATTACAGGCAGTGATTCTTTTTTATTTATTTATTTATTTTTTGACAGGCAGAGCAGACAGTGAGAGAGACAGAGAGAAAGGTCTTCCTTTGCCGTTGGTTCACCCCTCAATGGCCGCTGCAGCCGGCAAGCTGCAGCCAGCGCACCGCGCTGATCCAAAGCCAGGAGCCAGGTGCTTCCTCCTGGTCTCCCATGTGGGTGCAGGGCCCAAGGACTTGGGCCATCCTCCACTGCACTCCTGGGCCACAGCAGAGGGCTGGACTGGAAGAGTGGCAACTGGGATACAATCCTGCACCCCAACCGGGACTAGAACCTGATGTACTGGCGCCGCAGGCAGAGGATTAGCTTATTGAGCCACGGCGCTGGCCGGCAGTGATTCTTAGCAATTTTAAGTGGAGAGAAGCAGCGCATGAACAGTTTCCATTAAAGTAGCATTTAGTGTGAGCTTCTGCTTGGTCCGCAGAGCACGTGAGTGTCACACATGGGTTCAGATCTGTTTGGGTCTATGGGTAGATTGAATATGACTTTGGTCAGGGCTTGTGAGTTTCTTCAAAGCTCTCAGAATCGAGGCTTTTGCGTTAAGGTGTTGTAATTATAGGGGCAGTTTGAGTCTGATGATTCAAGTTCTTGACTCTGGCTTTATCTTTGTGTCTCTGTCTTAATTTAATGAGTTTCTCTTTACACAGGAACTTGGAGCTAAGGAAGAGATGCTGGAGTCTGATAAAGGCTATATCGAAGGCGTAGGGATGGAGCTAGGCTTCATAAGCAATAATTTTTTTAAACACAGTTCCATTTTGTTTGGTGTTTAGATTGTTTCCAAAGATACTTCGATTCTTACAGATAAAATTTGACTTGTATCCATTCCTCAGTATTCATTCAAAGCCTGAACATGACAGATTACCTGAAATTACTATATTTGTTTTTTAAATGTTTATTTTTATTGGCAAGATGGTGAAGTGGGGAGAGAAATATATCCCTAGATCTTATATTTGCTTATTCACTTCCAAAATGCCTTCAACAGTCAGGGCTGGGCCAGGCTAAAGCCAGGAGCCCGAAACTCCATCTGAGTCTCCCACATGGGTCACAGGGACCCAGTTTACTCTGGGTCTTTGTCTCCTTCCTCCCAAGATGCACCAACAAGAAGTGGATTAAAAGTAGAGATGTCAGGATTTAAACTGGCTTCCTAATATGGGATGCAGGAATCCCAAGAGTCAGCCTAACCCATTCAACACAACACCTGCCACATTATTTTTTTTTTTTTTTAAGATGTTATTGATTTATTTATTTGAGAGGTAGAGTTACAGAGAGAGGGAGAGACAGAAAGGTCTTCCGTCCATTGGTTCACTCCCCAAATGGCCGCCATAGCTGGAGCTGGGCTGATCCAGCCAGGGGCTGCTTCTGGGTCTCCCACGTAGATGCAGGGACCCAAGCACTTGAGCCATCTTCTAATTCTTTCCCAGGCACATTAGCAGCAAACTGGGTCATAAGAGGAGCGGCCGGTACTCGAACCGGTGTCCGTATGGGATGCTGGTGCTGCAGGAGGAGGCTTAGCCTACTATGCCATAGCACCGGCCCTGCCACATCATTTTAAACTTAACTTTATATAATTCAAATAGATCCAAAGCAAAATATTTTTGTTTTTTAAAGGAAATCATATAAAGTTAAAGCAAATATCCAAAAAGTTGGTTTGGACCCCGTTTCTTCTTTATGTATTGTTAATTTTCAAAACCTCTCTATCTGAAAAAACTGATAATTTTGTTGCATTTGTAGTGCTTAAGAACTCTTAATTATAAATAACATTTCTTAAAGATGCTTTGTTTGTATGAGCATTTGCTAAATTTCATGTTATATTTCGAAGTCTCCTGTTGAATTTTCCTCATACCTGCATTCTTTTTAAGGAAAGTTTAAAATAACTTTTGTGAAATTCATCTTTCTTATTCCATTATTATTAATGAGGGTTTTCACAAATGTTTTGTTGCTAGAGTGTTTTACCTTTTATATATTATAATTTTGTCCTTTCAAGGCATTTAATACACTCTCTTTTAGTCTCTGTAGAAACGCTGGAAAAGAATTTGAAGCAGATGGGAAGGCAGCTTCAACAGCTTGAAAAAGATTTGGAAACCTTTCCCCCTCCTGAGGACTTGCATGACAAGTTTGTGACAAAGATGTCCATATCCTTTTGATATCTAAATAACTTAAGTCACAAGTCAACTAGAATTACAATTCATCTAATGTTTTATGTGTATTTGCATAGCCAGCATGCCATACGGGAGAAGGTACAGCTTTTGCCTTTTGCAGGGAAATTTATTAGCCTTTTTCTTCATGAATGACTACAAATGTATTTCTATTACTTTCCATTCTTTAGCTCTTTATATTAACTTGAATAATCATATGCTCTTTCATCATTTCATATACCTTATTTCATACTCATACTCACAATACATTGAAAGATTAAAAGTCAGTTTGAGGGAGCTGGACTTTACAGTCATGATTTAGACTTTTTAAAATTATTTCAGGAAGCACATGTCACCTTATAAAATAGTGATAAGAGTTGGTTTCTATTAGAAATTAACTTGTACTCTGCAAAATTTTATTCGTTTAGAAATACTACATGGTTCCATATTCAGAATGGACAATCATTACTTGTGTAAATATTCTTCCAAAATAAAATTGCCTATATATGTACCTGTATGTTTATGTAAATATTTATGTGTGTGAGTATATATGTCTGTACATAAAATAAATAGCTTGAGGCTTGTGCCCTTTTCAACTTATGTTTTTCTTTGTCTTAGTTATCTGTTATTGCTAACTTTGTTCTTAATCTCTAATTAGTAAATGAAGTATATGCTTTTTTTTTCCCTGAAATTAATATTGAGTGGCTCTTTAAACCATTCTATGAAATTAGACACTGATGCCTTTTGTGTTGCAATAAAATATTACTATAATTCATTTGTAAAATCCCACATAGACTTCTGAATTCTGTATGAAAGGATAGCCTACTTCTAAAATGATATGTAGATTCTCCTAATATTTTGTTTTAAACTGAGGTACTTGAAATAAAATGATTGCTTTTCCTCTTTCTGTTTCTTCTGTCCTGAGATTTAGTGATCATAAAATTATTATTTGGCTCATCATAGATGTCATTGTATATGCTTTCAGCTTAATTGTGAATTAGTTCGGTTTTAGCTTCCTTCACTGTCTCTGTCGGGAAATATAAAAATGCACTCTAGCAGCAATCAATTCAGCTAATGCGTTTGTTTCCTTTTGTATCCTTCCCACTCACCAGTCTTTTTTTTTTTAAGCGAAGGATGAATTTGACTTACCCAAATATATTTTTGCAGTATCTTCTCATTTGACAAAGTATACCTTTCAAAATATATTATTACAGTTATATCTGTTTCATCATTGTTGGCCTTTTACCCATTTTGTCATACGAAAATGCTCATATGTGTGTTTATTATTTTAATCAGTAAGTTTGGTTAATTGGAGTATTTTTTATTCTCTAAAGATGAAAAGCATTTTAGAAAATATTTTGCTTACATACAGTTTCTAATAATAGCCTGCGAGTGCATTAATTATGCACTGAACTGAGATGGATTCTTGAACACAGAGTAAAGGTTGTAGAATCTTGCTCACTAGCTGATCTCAGGACGTATCTATACTTGTATTCATGTGACACAGAAAGCTGAATGATGTTGGCTTCTTGAAAGGTATGCAGCTCATGAAAAGCAACCAGCAGGAAATCAGAAACAGGAAGGATGATGCTTTGTTGGAAACAATATTTCATTCTGAGTACAATTATACTCTACGGACAAGAAAGCTACTATATCCTGTCGCTAAATATCACAACCTAGATGCCTCTAATGAACTGATTAGCATTCATGTACCTCTTGGAAGTCAGATATATGAACAGTTGGTGCACTTTGCTATTGACAAAGCTTATAATCATAAATATTCTTTGCTGAGATTAGATTGCACTCGTTTGCTTTTCATCTTAGTTAGACATACTACTTTCGAAGTAATTAAATTCATTCATTGCGAGGCCTTGTTTACTTTAATTAGGACTGACAACAAGTCAGATTTTGAATATTAAATGCATTTATACAGATCTTATTAAAATGACAAATTGTGAGCTTCTTAAATTTTAGAAAATGGAAGAATTTGGAAGCTAAGATGCACAATGAATAATAATGTATTTAACTGAAGTTTAAGTTACTAATGCTCAAACTTTGTTTATATTTTACACTGAATACTTGTTAGTTGAAGCACATATCAATTTTTTGGTTCCTCATCCAATTCTGAAAGAATATATTACTAAAAGTGCATGTTTACAAGTGCATTTTGGTTTAAACAGTATGATTTAATGACTGTTAATCTGTCAATTGTTTTAAATTACAAAAATTAATTTTGGTTACATGAAATTTTACTAATAGTGCCCATTATAATAAATTGTATTTTTATTCTTCCAGTGTATTCCTGCTTTTATATCAATTTCTTAATATAAAAATATGAATTTAGTATGCCTTTAAAAATCATGTACAATTATTTCATATATCATTGACTTTTTTAAATAATAATTGTTACTTTCCAATTGCTAAACCAAAGCAAAGCTATATTTAGAGTTGAATAGCTGCACAGAAATATTTACTTGAAAAATGTGAAATACAAATTTCAGGTAGGGTCATCAGTATCATCAAATGCAAACACTGCATATGAGATATACATACTTATTTAATTATTATTGAGAAAATTTAAAAATATCAGAATTTGTGTCAGATAGTACCCACTCCTTTTTTGACCTTTAAGTTCTGTAATGTTTCTTATTTTAAGGAAAATAAATAGTTCTTAGAACATTGCCCTTGAAATATCCCTTGCACAAGTCTTGCCCTTTGGTTTTGTTTTCTTCTTACACCTCTGCTGAGTCTCTAAAAAGAAGTTTTGCTGTATATTTATGTATTCTTGTATTTCTGACAACTTATGTGACAAGTTACTTCACTCTTTCTCAGGTTATATTCTTTAAATTTCTTTGTTGAAATCTCAGTTGATTTTTGTGCTTTCTTTTTTTTTTTTTTCTCTATATGTCAATGGCTTTGGTATTTCTGAAATACTGGATAAATGCTAACACCATCCCAGTACATTCATTGAGAGACTTCACTTGTTTTGATATTCTCTGTTGCATAGACTACATCAATATATTTTTCTTTAATTGAACTGCAGTGAGGAAGTGAAATAGAAGATTGTAGGGAATGAAATGGAAGTTTGTACAAGACATAGCCCCAGCTATCTGAGTGGGAAGTTGAGTTAGTGGACTAGTTATTGTAGCGAAGGTGCATCTGTTGAGTTAATCATCTCACTTATCCTTCCTCTGTGCTCCGTTCTTTCCTCTTATCCACTTAACCCATTCTTAACAAACTTCAAGACCCAGGATAAGAGGTAGCCAGTGTGGTGCAGCTGGTTAAGGTGCTGCCTGCAACACCTATTTGAGTCTCAGCTGCTCCACTTCTAATCCACTTCCCTGCTATTGCACCTGGGAAAGCTGCTGGAGGTGGCCCAAGTGCTTGGTCCCCTGCCATCTATATGGGAGACCAGAATAGAATTCCTAGTTCCTGGCTTTGCCCTGGCCCAGCCCAGCCATGGCAGCCATTTGGGGAATGAACCAGTGAATGGAAGATCTACTTTGTCTCCCACTCCCTCTCTGTCTCTTAACTCTGCCTTTCAAATAAATAAATGTTAAACGGTTTGGGGGGTGGTGGGAATAAAGAGAGAGAGACAGATTGAATAGCTTGCTTCTTATCCTCAAACTAATTATCTTCAAACTAATTATCTTTTTCTTTCCTGATGTCTTATCACCTTACAGACAGTGCTATACAACCTAGTGCTCACTGTTATTTCATAGTTATGCTTGAGTTGCTTTAGTCTCTTAACTTCTTAATCATGATTTCCCTGACTACTCATCCTGAATTATCCTGTCACTGTATAGAATATTCAAAGTTTTATTTTCTTCATCATGCTTATCACTATGAATATCTCAGTCATTTGTATTTTACTCTAGAACATAGGAAGTGGTCCTCAAAAATTTAATTGAAAACACACATTAGCTTTTAATTCAGTTTTTTTTTTTACATAGGTAGGTATTGAAGTGTTCTCATGTTTCATGACAGCAGCGATTTTGCCTGTTTTGCTAGATCCTCTTTTCCGAGTGTTTAGAAGAGTGGAATACAGTAAGATACAAGGAATACTTTTGGAATAGTTGGCTTAATCCAGGAAACTTGAAAATCTATTAAAGGTATGAGACTTGGGGCTGATCGAAGCTGGTCCTTTTAAGTTATGATAATGGAAGTTGTAGGCATGGTTGATATGGCAGAAGTGCAGTCATGAGGGTGTGGCCTAAGATTAAATGTAGGATGTATTTATGGTACAGTTTGGGAATAAGCTCAACTGCCAGACAGGAGAAGAATTCCAGGTCTTACTTGTGTTCCTTAGTTGACTTTCACTAAATAGTTGTGTTTCACTGCATGTGAACGAAGATCTGGCTGTCACGTATCTTTCAAATGTGAGGATTATAGTGTCTCAAAAAGAAATTCATTAAGATTTTCCCTTAGCTTGATACATGTAAAGGGAAACAAAACATATTACTGAAGACATCAAGTAGTTGGAATGCATATCAATGTTTTGTAATTAGTGTTACCAAATGTTTGTTCAGTATCTTACGTATAATTTCAAAGGTCCTTACAAATATAAAACTTTATTTTGGGGAAAAATACTTAAAGCCTGATTACTAACTGAAATGGGCATTACTTTTATTTAGAGTTTAACAGTTCACACAAGGATAGCGATGTTTCTTTATTTTATTTGAAAGGTAGAGATAAGAGAAGAAGAGAAAAGAGAATCCATTGATTCACCCCCTAAATGTCTGCAATTGCCAGAGCTATGCCAGGCTGATGCCAGGAGCTTCTTCCGGGACTCCCACTTGGGTGCAGGGACCCGAGGACTTGGTTCAGCTTCTGCTGCTTTTCCAGGTGTATTAGCAGGGAGCTGGATTGAAAGTGGGTCAGCCAGCAAGCAGGCCTCAGCTTAGCCCACTGTCCCACGGTACCAGCCCGGCTTCTTTATTCTTCTGGATGATATTGATGACTAATGTTTTCCATTTCTCATCAGTGCCAATGGTATATGTCTCATTCATGTTGACCAATTATTCTATCCTATCAGTCGTTTTGTAAATTCTGAGAATTTGGATATTTCCAAAATTGTTTCAGTTTAATCAGTTTTGCTAGTCCTGAGGTTCATTCTTGTTATTCAGAGCTCCACTTCATTTATTTTGGGAGTAAATTATTATATATATATTATGATAAAATATTCACATAAAAGCTCTCTAGCTATTAGAACAAAGCTGTCATTCTAGATCTTCTAGATCATTCTAGATCTTGGCCATCTTTCTATTGCATCTTTTGTTAGAATTGTACTGTTTTTGAAAACATGCATAGACTTGTTACTGATGTTTCTTGTAATCTTAACCTGAAAATCTTTCTTTTCTAAAAAAAAAAAAGTCATTGCTTTATTTCAACCTGCTTGCCAAATGGATTCTTAAGAATGGTCTACTTCTAGGTGTTAGCATGAAATTACTAGTGTTTGTGAAGTGTCTATTATTAACACGCAAATCTTAGAAGCAGTGATATGGGCAGAAAAGGGGCAGCTATAGCACCATACAGTTAGGGACACTCATCAAAATAGTACCCTTAGCTCATTTTTAGGATACATTTCAGAGATTCCATTGGTTTTTAATATGAATTCAAATGGTTTTTGTGCATGTGCATTAACATGTTTATGTGCAGTTTTATGAATAGAAGTTCCATGCTGTTTCATCAGAATTTTGAAGATACCTCGTACTCTTGGCAACAAGTCTAAGAATGATGCCTCTGAGGTGAAATAAGTAATCAGCATTGATGTACTTGCAGTTGACTTGTCTTAATTCAGCTAAGAAGGTAGAACATAGCATCTGGAGGTGACAATGAGAGATGACCATCTTTGCCAGAAATGTGATAGAGACAAAGCAGTACTAAAAGATGAGACTAGAAGGGAAAAATCACAACCTTGTTATAGATCCAGGAGCCTATGTCTCATGACTTTCCAAAGAAGTGCAGTGGATTATAAATGCTATTTCCATTGAAAGAAATGATTATTCGTTAGTCATAGCTGTTCAGTTGAGTAAAGGCATCATACAAAAAGAAGAATTGAACAAACTGCTGAATGATAGGTTTGGACAAGCAAAGGCAGAAAACAGTTTCTTTTTAGGAGTTAAGATTATATAAATAATCTTATATATATATTCTGTATAAAAAATCTTATATATATATTCTGTATCTGGGACATGCATGATTTGAGGTGAGAGTTTATAGATTGAATAGGTAAACCAATTTATAAATTGATGCTGATATCTGATACTTCACATTGAAATGCATCACTACATGTTCCATTTAATGGTAGTTTCTGAGTGAATTTCAAATATGATCTTTACATATAAATTCACATTACCTATAACTTTTCATGAATATTGATGATATACATGAAAACCTGTCATGTGTAACTCCATTCTTATAATTGCTTGTGATTCTGTAGTTTGACTAATTATACTAAATGTTTTGTTGTTCATTCAAGAATTTCAAGATGTTATCATACATAAACACATCGGTCACTGGCACTAGTAACATCTAGATTCAAGAAAGGGTAGAGAGGCATTTTGCTATTCAGATGAATATAAACAGTCATATACAGATCTATGATTTTTTTAAGGTCATTAAAACATCAGTACATGCATTGGAATCCACACTCCCTACCTTCTAATCTATTCTTTCTGAACTACTATATATATATTACTTAGCAGAGTATGAAAAGAAACAGGGATAGGAGGGTAATAGATAACCTGTTGATTGAAGGTAGACTTGGGTACAGGTGAGTTGTGATGTTTGGAATGCCTCATTTTCTTGCTGGGAGGTAGGGTTCTAATTATTGGAATCCTATTGTGTGTCCTGGCTTTACTCCTTACCTTAGTTCTGTTTCCTTTTTCTTTGTATTTTATTTTCTTTCTCAAAACAAGGGGGTTACTTTAATTTCCTTATTTCATCCTGTGCTGGGAAAAACTCTGACCGGAAGAACCATCTTTTGGAAATTCTGGGAAAAAATTGTTATTTTTAGATACGGACATTTCAATTTGATGTATTTCTTTTAGATTGAATCTGTTTTTTGTTTTTTTTTGATTCTTGAAAATGTTATTAATGTCTGTTTATACTTCTGCATTAATCATAGATTTAAAAAAAAAGCTGGCTGCTGTAAGTTTAGCTATGTTTTATTTCTTTACATACCAAATGAACCATAGACAATTGTGAGTGATTCTCGAAGAGTCATCTTTTCAGAGTGTAGGGTAGTGATTTCATATCTGAATATATCAGTATTTTGTTGTATAACAAAGGAGGAAATTCTATGATTTATTTAGAAAATCTAGGTACTATCACATCCACATTAAATTAGTGTACTCAATTTTAGTGTGCTTTGAACTATGTTATAATGAGAAAACATTTCTGTATGAGTATGCATGTGTGAGGATAAGCATAATTTTTAGTCATAATGCATGGAAGAAATTATGTCCAAATTTTCCAAAAATGAAGTTAAAACATTTAGTTTGCTTATATAACGTAAGAAGTTTTTAATGATCCTTAAAATGGATAAAAGGACAATAAAAGTATTTATTTATACTACTCAGTGAACCTTGTGAGTATTAACTCTTTGAGTCCCTGCAACAACACTGTAAGTCAATTGGCAGTGTTATTCTTATTTTACACATGAGGAAGTTGACACAGCAAGGTAAGGGCCTTATCTAGAGGTACACTACTCCCAATTATAGGAGGTATGAATTGACTCCATGTTGTCTAGTTTCACTCAGTGCCTCCATTGCTGATTTCGGTATTACTCCAATTATTCATGCTGAACTATAACTTGCATGATCTGCATGATATAGATTTTTGTTATGGCAAGCTGGAAGAAATTGTTACTTGAAATTAATTAGGAAAGAAAAAATGTTAAAATATATACGTACTTGAGTTTTCTTGTAGTTTTGTCAAAGTTAACTAGAAATTGAATTGAAAATTTCATTTTTGTGCAATATTGTTTTCATTGTTTAAAGTGATTTGTGGGAATGATCATTAGAAATTATTTTGGAATTTCACTGATATAATCACGGTGCCAGTAATAACTGAACACTGGGTTTATTACTTTGTAAATTTCAGAAAGCCTTAACTATACTATACAGCTTTGTTACCGATGCAAAAGAACAATATGGGAACCTTTCAAAGTTACATGCAAACATGGAAAAATTGTACCAGAGTGTAATGGGATACTATGCCATTGATGTGAAGAAAGTGTCCGTGGAAGACTTTTTTACTGACTTGAATAACTTCAGAACAGCATTCATGGTATGCTAAAAATTTAGTTTTTAAAAGTGTTTTTATACTATTCAATCTGTTATTATCTATTATTATTGCATTACTTCATTCCACTCTTGTTGTCTGCAGTGAAACCTACCTTTTCTGATGTTGGAAGTTAGCTTTTAAAATTTCAGGTTTTAAATCTATTGAAAAATGTGAGGTTTGTTCTCTTTTTGGCCTTTTCAACATGAAGCTGTAATCAGAAATTTTGATTGAAAAAGTGACAAATTCTGAAGTTCTTCATAAAGACTTCCTCCTGGCTGATTACAGAGCACTTTTGTAATAAGTTTTTGGCTATGAAATTGTTTCTTTATGCTTAAGATCAATTTGTATTTTTGTGGTATAATTTTACCAAATTCCATACAGCTCTTATGAAGCTTTTTTTTCCTTTTCTTTTCTTAATGCATTGTACAATAAGCTACCTGTGATTTGCCTTTGAATAGATTTTACATTCTTAGGGTTTCCTTTAGAGACTTTAATAGGGAGGTCAGGTCTTTGATGTGGAATCCTTTCATTTAGGCATTAAAAAGATCTTTTGAAAAGTATTAGCTGATTAGATGGGGGGAAAAAAAAAAAACCACACACGTATTAAAGTGAGAAGGCATTGTTGCCTCCCTGTGAAAATGTGATACATTTCTACAATGAAAAACTGTTATTCTTAATAGAAGAGTAAGTCATTTTTATATTTCAGCAAATGTTTGTGAGGATTAAAAAGTTTTGTGGTGTAAAGAAAAGGAAGGTTGAATTTAAAGAGATGGTTCTTTTTAATCACAGGAAAACATCATGAAGTTTATTGGAGCTGGTTATTATCACTTGATTATGATTAGATCACCTTTTACCAAACAGGCATCATTAAAGGAAAATATCTACAGTACCCAATCACTTACAAATCTAGTTTATTTCTTCTAGAATCATTCTAAAATCACAGTGGTTTTTGAGATTATTTTTTCACTATCAATGATGAGTTTGTGATATATTTATGTGCCATGTATTATACAATATATTATTTTAAATATTCCAGTGTATTATTAGGCATTGTGGATAGGTGGAACTAGCAAAGGCTTTGCCAACATCTAAGAGAGCTACGTGTGGTTTCCACACTAGTTATGTGCCTATGTTCCATTTAACCTTTCTGGACCTCAGTTTCCATACTATAAAAAGAGGTGTTAATTCCTTTCTGTTAAGTATTAAATGAAGTAATACATACTACATGTTTATGCTGACTTCTGGCACCTAACTGCCAGGGTTAATTCAGCTTTGGGGTGCTCAAATGCAACACATTCCATGGAAATAACTGGCCCTTGGCTGATTCCTGAGACATCACTTGCAAGCCCAGGAATTGCCTGCTTTATAAATGTGTTTTTTTTTTTAAATCTAAAAACTTGCACCATCCTAGAAAAGTCTATGCTAACAGTGCAATTTATGGAGAACACTTGTTTTTTGTTCACTTGGGGACTTGGGCCACATTGTGTCTTCTCTCTGCCTTTGACATCTTGGTGGGGCTGGACACTTTGAAGACTCCTTTTGAAATCAGAGAATGACCCCCTAAAATTTATATAGAAATGTGGCCCTTTAAAATTCCCCAGAAACGCTATCTGGGGTGCCACATATACTACCGGAATTTGGGATGCCATACGATTTCACCATGTGCTTGCTAATAAATCCCCAATATTAATAAGCCCAAGAGGGTTCTTGCCAATATTTAGAGAAGAATTCTAAATGAGGCAGCATGGTACATTTTAGGCTTTTATTTAGTGTGAAAGATGCATAGGAGAGTGAGAGCTTTATTAAGAGAGAGAGGTAAATCTGGGTTCATACCGAGCACCAGGAACCAGCCGTGTAGAGAAGCATCTAGGCCATGAAGCCTAGGGCGGATGGCCCAAAGGCATGTGCCCTGGAGGTGCGCAGGACTACAGCAAGCCCCCTCCTGGCAAGAGGCCAGGGAAGAAGAGAAGGCCCAGGACACACTGTGTCCCAGGCTTTTAACCCACTTCCAAAGGGGAGTGGTTAATTAACCTGATTGGCTGGTGGGCACCCAGGGGTGGCCAGGTAGGGGCATGAGGTCACACAGGGGTGTGGTGAAGGTATCAGGTAGGGTGTGAGGTCACACAGGGGCGTGGCTAAGGCATGGTATTCCAGCTCACAAACCTAATTGATTTTAACCTGTATACCTGCCTACTTCACTTTTATGCAGGGATTTCAAGTATTCTGCACCAAAATAAATAATTCCAGTTTCCACAAACTTTTTGAAGTACCATCACATTCCTTGTCATTTAGAGTTTGCAAGGGTCCTAGAAGTAGCTGCTATCACAGGTTCATCACACATCAAGCTAAATTAAAATTTTTTAAAGGTTAATATAAAAACTTTTAAATAAAAGAATTTGGAGAAGAAATTTTATTTAGAATAAAAAGTATATAGAAGTCTGAAACGGAAGTGGTTGTATTGAGGTCCTGAGATTTCATGTAGGTATTTATTGTTCTAATTCTTTGGGAAGGCAAATATGGTTGTACTGCTGGAATTGTTAAATATATAGATATTGTTTAAAAGTACGCAGTGCTAATATTGGCAAAAACCTTAACAAATAAATGTTTTGTAAGAGTCCTCTGATCTCTTAGGAGGATACTAAATTGTATATTATTTTGCTTTGTAAGGCAAGGTCACTTGAATGAGTCAGTATGAAAGTACTAGGTCTAGGGGCTGGCGCTGTGGCACAATGGGTTAAAGCCCCATATTGCAGTGCCAGCATCCTGCGTAGGTGCTGGTCAAGTCCCAGCTGTTCCAATCCAGCTCCCTGCTAACACGCCTGGGAAAGCAGTGGAGGATGGTCCAAGTGCTTGGGCCCCTGCACCTATGTGGAAGACCCTGAAGAAGCTCCTATCTTTGGATCAGCTCAGCTCTGGCCATTGTGGCCATTTGAAAGGGAATGAACCAGCAGATGGAAGATCCACCCCCTTCCTTCTTCCTCTCTCTACCTTTCTCTGTAATTCTTATCTTTCAAATAAATAAAGTAAACCTTAAAAAAAAAAGTCTTGAAAAAATAAAGTAATCAGGTCTTTAGCTACAGGTGTAGAATTTTAAATGTACTGAAGGTCTGTTCTGGAGAGCCACATAAATACAAAGGTAAAAATGCATACACATATTTTTAAGAATTCATTTATATTATTTGAGAGATAGAGTTACAGACAGAGAGAGGGAGAGGCAGAAAGGTCTTCCATCCACTGGTTCACTCCCCAGATGGCCACAGTAGCTGGAGCTGGGCTGATCTAAAGCCAGAAACATCTTCCAGGTCTCCTACATGACGGCAAGGGCCCAAGCACTTGGGCCATCTTCTACTGCTTTCCCAGGCCATAGCAGAGAGCTAAATCAGAAATGGGGCAACTGGAACACAAACTAGCTCTGCAGGTAGAAACTTAGCCTACTACACCACCGTGCCGGCCCCACATACTTTCTTTTTTTAAAAAAAATACTGTTAAGATGTTTCTGTTATTATATTTGCTACTGACATTTAGGTGTATTCTTTGTCATTTCCATTTTGTATTTCATGTTGAACCATGTCCTCACTCCACATGTATTCCTTTCTATGGCAGTTTTCCATGGAAGGTTTTCATTCAAGTTCTGACCACTTTAGTTACCAGAGCCTAGAACACTGGCTAAATTATCGTACTTATCTTTCTGATCTGTGGTAGTAACATCTGTGTCTCTAGTGAAGTTCATGACATATAATAGATAAATTTGTTGAGTGGCAGATCATCAATAGGTGACATATTTTAATTGCTAATACATGAGATGCGAACCATGTGCTGGGCACTGTATTCAATCACTTAGTCCTTATAACAAAAATCAGTTGTGATATGTATACTGTTACTCTAACCATTTGATAAGAAAACCAAGGCATAGAGAGATCCTGACTTGCCTCACTACAGAGCTAGCAAAGAATTTAGATACAATGTAGGCTGTCTGACTAGGCTCTGTACTATATATGACTGAATTGTGTTAATTCTTGTTAAATATGCATCACTAACGTAAAACCTATCCTCCTTGGAAATTCTTTTAGAAGTCTACATTTATTGGTTTATGAATATCCAAAAATACTTATATTCAAGATTGTTTCAGATTTTAAGCATAAGCAATTAAAACTATTTATCAAAGCCTTTCCCTTTAACTTTTACTAATTCATATACTCATCACAATTGCTAGCTCACAGCTAATGTGTGTGTGTATATATATATATATATATATATATATATATACAGGTTGGTTGGTTGGTTGGCTGGTTTGTTTGTTTATTTATTTATTTATTGCTTGCTTGCTTGCTTGCTTATAAGAGCATTATTACAATAGCTGTTGGAAGAGCATCTGTTCCAGGCTGCTGCCTCAAGCCATGTAGACCAAGGGGGAAAAGTTTTAAAATCTTGTAGCTTCTCTTGAGGAACAGCTGTTCATTTTGACAGGAGTTTAACTCATCCTTCTTGTATTTAAGAATTCTTAACAGGGAATTCTTTCTGTGTTATTATGTGAACAATCTATAGATAGTATAGTATGCTTATTGACATTGACTACATTTAGAATGACTGATCAACCTCCCCCCAAATGGGAGTCTTCTTTGTAATTTTGTTTAGCATCTTTTTTATGTCTGTTAACAGGAGAAAACCAGGATTAATTCCTATTGATTTAGTGCTTATTTCTTGCTAGGCCATGTGCTCAGTGCCTTACATGTAGTGCCTATGTGGTCTTCACAATGTTTCTCTGAGGTGCAGAGTACTACCTGGGGGTAAATTTGAGTTAGGGAGGTGCTATGCCTTTGCAAAGGCGCATTGGAGTTGGTCAGAGCTCAGTTTGAATAGAAGCCTGCCTGATTCCAAAGGCTGTACTTTGAACAGCTTCAAGTACACTGCTGCTCAGAGTTAGCAGGAAAAGTCAAGCTTGTAATTTTCAAGTGTGTTCTTGCTAACTTGCTGGAGACACTAAGTACGAGTAAATACAAGGC